CCCCTCTAATCCATGGCAAAACGAGACACAGCTCGCATGCATTGATTTCGGCTATCATAAATGTCCCCATCATTCTGCACCAAGGAAGGAAAGAAAAGAAAGGAGAAGAAAAAAAACCAGAATGTGATACCGGCACTGGCACTCGTTACCAAGTGAAACGATGGCAATTAACCTCCAACGTCTGCAGCACTGGAACAGAACGTCCCAAGCCCGTGAATCCTTCTCGAGCAGGTACAAGTACTCGAGTACGGTACTAGTGCTGGACCGCACTCCAGTACTCGGTGGAGCGGTGCCGTGATGTACCCGCTCGAGCACCGTCCCAATTCGAGTACCGTACAGCATGAACGTGACCATCGGCACGTTTCAAAGCACTTGTACGAGCACCCGAGTAGCAAGACAGGAACCCCCGGAACGAGGCAAGAGAAAATGGGAATCCCGAAAACTCCATCCGTCGGGCCCCCATGTAGCCCTAGGATCATTTGAGCTTAACTCGAGGGAGCTCCCGGCAAAGCCAGGAAATATCCTGGGCATTCAAAGGCTGGTGCACACATCCAACAATCCTATGGCACAAATCGAGACAGACGGTCGGAACGAGAGGAGAGGAGAAGAGGACGTTCAAAATGAGAAAGGTTCAGTATTGCCGGTGCCGGTACTAATTGCAGAGAGTGCAAGGGTACTTTGAAGACCCATTAACCGGAGCGGACAGGACAGGGATATGTTTAGCCGATTAACCCCCAGATAACTGTTCCGTAACTTCTCTCCAAACCTTGGTGCCACCAACTGCAGAGGTGTAAGTTCGATACGGTACCGGTACAAGTACTTTACCCACTTCAAACTTGCCGTAAAAGCCGCATTAGCCCCCTCTGGAGGGTACCGCTACAATTGCCCGGGGAGATGCTTTCGTGCTTGAGCGAAAAAGCTAGGGATTATTTTGCAAGCTTAACCCAAATTAACTTTTTTTCTCACCAACCATCAATCCAGCACAAGCACCTGGACGAGTACCGTACGACTTCTCGCCACAAATATTTGTTAAACGGGTGGCGATTAGGGGATCTTCACGTCCTCTACTCGATTAGTCGGCTCTGCTGCTGGTATCATACCGACTCTTACAAATTATTCTTGGTGCTGTGCCCGATTGGGGCTATGGGTGTAATCCTGGTTCAACTCTCTGCGGTCCTCACAGCTCTTGGCAAAGATACAAAAATAGAAGGAAGGAAAAGGCAAAGATTTTCAAATACTGGGAATTGTTTCAAGAAAAAAAGAATTACAGTGCACCCTGCTCGAAGAATGCTGGAAAAGCACTTTTGCGGGAAGGGCTGTGTTTCTCGGTGTGGGTGAGGTCCAAGTTTGCATCAATGGGGTAAATTGGTATCAGAGGCTATGGTGCAGTATCATACCGGTGGTGCTAGAGGAAAGGAGTCGACAAGAAAATTGGCGACAAGCTGATACCAATTAACCAGCTGATATCCCCTTTCTTTGTACGCTGCCACGGGAAAAATATCAAATCAAATCAAATCAAATCAAATCTCCAGGATGCTACGCAGTATGATACGTTGAACATTGTTCGCTAAAAGAAAGTTTAAACAAACCAGAAACTCTCGCATTACCGTACCATACCGGTACCCGAGCACGGTACTCGAGTATCCCTTCACCTGCATCCAGGACCTCGCCCTCGAGCTGAACAGGATGGCTACTGTGCCGCATGCTTCCGCCACTGGAGGGAAAGATCGATTCCTCGAATACCAGTACCGGCAACTCCTAAGCGTCAAAATTCCATTGGCCGGGTTACCATTGTGTCACCGAACCATACCTTTACGAGCCAAGCTTCTGAAGATCGGAGGACAAAATACCGGTACCGGTAGTCGGTTACCCAGTACCGTACTTGATTGTACCGTAAATTACCGCGCGAACTCCGGGAACGAGAGGAACAAAGTGATGGATGGTGGAAGGAATCCCCCGACGGGAACATCTTCCAACGCGGGTGCTCCTCATCGGTAAATTTTGTCCCTGGTTTTCGTCGACAGATGGTGGGCTGGATATTGAGGAAATGGAATGGTATCTATCATAGGAAACATTGACTTTGCAGTCGCAGTGAGCTAGGGCACAGACTCCGTATCCCATGCTCCGCCACCGCATACGAGTACTCGTACTGGCACAAAGGATCGGTGGGCTAAAGGTCTTAATTTGAAACTCTAGCACCGGGACAATACTCGTACTTGTACCGAAAATCTAATTTCTCATCAGAGGCACCGAGAGAGCGTTTTTCCAGCACCAAGGCATGCAAGGATCTACATCTGCCAGATGACCGTGCAGTTCCCATTTTGGTTTTGTTTACGAGGAGAAGGGAATTTTAAAGTTCAGCACGGTCCACTTCGCTGACCGGTCCAGTGAACGTGCACTGCTTTTTCCTACCTGAGCAGAAACGGGTCTGTGGTCTCCAGGACAAGTCTAGGACGGTACTAGTGCGCATCAGACAAGATTTGACACCCCATTTGTGCTGGCGAGTCGCGCAACTTGTTCTCTGCTGAAAGGGCGTACGTAGTCCCAGTCTGTCAGTTGATTGGCGCCAGTACTGTATGAAGGTCTAACCATTCAGAGGAAAACTGCATATG